GTTTAGTGTCATCTGCAAACTTGCTGAGAGTGGATCCCTGATGAGGACTGGCGGGATGCTCCCGAGCATCCCGACAAAACCGCCTTTTTCCCACCTGGTTGCCCTTAGAGGGTCCAGGCTGGGGGGCAGGTCGAGACTGCCTTTGAGGGCATCTCTTACAGTCCCGCTGCTTCTTATAGGTGGCCTCGTACTTCGGGAGGGCGGCCAGGGTAGAAGTCTGCTGCTACTTAAATTTAGGTTTTGTCGGAGCTGGGACATATAGGCCCAGTGTCTGGAGGGTCATCCGGGAGTCCTTCATGCCACGCAGGCTTGTATCTGTTTCCTTTGCAAACAGGACTTTCCCATCAAATGGGAGGTCCTGCAGGAAGACTGAGCCTCGCTGGACAGCCCAGAGAGTAAGAGCCATGATGCCCGTCTCATGGACACCGCTGAGGCCATCGATTGCACGGCCGTGTCCACAGCATCCGAGGCAGCCTGTAGGGAAGCTCGAGCTGGCAGTGCCCCTTCCTCCACGAGCGCCCTGAACCCCTTATCACGCTCCTGGAGGGAGTCTTCAAATATGGGCAGAGAGCCCCACAGATTGAATTTGTACTGGCCCAGGAGAGCCTGATAGTTCACCACTCATAACTGGAAGCTTGAAGACTAATACATTTTTCTTCTGAAAGAGTAGTCTCTGCAGGAAGTGCAGGGGCAGAGCAGGGTAAGAAGCATAAGAACAGGGCCCCGCAGCTCAGTTGGGAAGGACCAGGGAAGGAGTTAGTTGTCCTTCCTAGGGAGCTAAACTACCAGAAGAGCCCATGACCGGCTGTGGCGGGTGACAATCTTCTGGAGCTGGCTTGGAGGGAAAGCCAGCTGCTGCCTGAAGAGATTGAAAGGCCCAACGAGGGAGTGGAGAGCAGGCTGCCCGATAACAAGACTGGGAACCAGGCCCCAGAGGCCATGGAGCAGTCCCTCCAGATGCTGGTAGGAATGCCAGGGAACAGAAACATGGGTCCTCCAGTGTTGGAGGGAGGCAAGACAGTAACCCTGTTCTCCTATCAACCTGTCATTTCTAGGGCCCTGGTTTGAGACCCGGTGGAGCAGGGTGGACCCAAGTTCCCCCTACCTCTGGCTCCGCACTCAGGGCTGGATGAGTGCTAACCCTTCGGCCAGAAGACCTGAACCACTGACTGTTGATTTGCTCAGCTACACCTGAGCTTCAGATGGTTGATCTGCTCAGTTGCACAGCCGCAAGCCAGAACTGCCGCGAGACTAACCAGCCATGAGCACTGATTCTCCACCGCCAAAGGGGACGCCCTGAGAGGCAGGAACATTACACTAAATCATCAAATAAACCGAGAGAGATTTGAATGAACTGTAACATCATTGCATTAATCACACATTAGGATAGGGTTCATGAACAGAGGGTTTTTTATTCAAAGAGAATGGCCAGGGGGAGAGCAAGAATTTATGTACACCAAAAAGAGGCTCAAGCCAAGCACTGAGATTTGATTTTCAGACCCAGATTTCCTGTCTCTATTTGAGGAGAGCCAAACTCTGGATCTAGACACTCCTGAATTTGAAGGGGTGGGGGTTGGAAATCTGAATGTGAACTTCAGAGACTTTAGGGAGCTGTTTGAATTCAGCTCACTGCTGAGACTGGTTCCATCCAGCAACTCTGATCCAAAACTGGAGTCAGATTTTTTGTATGGATTCATTTGCATTTATTTGCCGTTTCCTTTGCATAGATGGATCCACACAAAGAATCTAAAGTCCCTGTACAAGTGTACTATGATTTGGCTTTTAAGCTTAAGTTTTTGCTTTTGTTATATCTGTTTCAACTTTTTGGTCTGTTACACTAATTTTATTTGTTTTTTAAATGCTTTTTATGGGAAAACACACCTAAATGTCTAACTTTTTCACTAAAGTGAAGGCCAGTATATATGTAATAACTGAAATATAAATGTGAAGGGCTTTTCAAATACGAAATGTAATTAAAATACAAAAACTGTTTAGCTAACATTAAAGTCAAGAATTTAAACACTCAAGTCAGGAAACTCAACAGTTAAGGTTCTTGGAGTAATGTTTGCATGACCCTCCCATAGATTTATAGTTTACAGTGAACAACAAAAACCAAAATCTTAAGATACAAATTTAAAAAAAATTAACGGACTGAAATTTCAACATGCAGTATGTGCAAAATAGCCAAGAAAGTTACTGAGAATCTTACCTTTGTTATTCTTTGACTCAAGAGTATTTAAACACTTGACTTTAATGTTACAGGAATATAGGCTTTAAAATATTAATATTCCTATTTGTTTGGCAGGGTTGGGGGAGCTAAGAAGAAAACAAAACACACCTTCAAGGTTACTAGCTGTACACGTGCACTAGATATACAGCCCTGAAAGCTAAAGAAGGAGCACACAGAGTATGGGCAATGACAGATAGGTTTTCTCCCAACTCCACCGCCTCGGCACCTTCACCCCAGCCTGGATGTACCACACTTAGAGCAGAACGAGTAGATCAGTTTTCATGACCATTCCCAAGTTGCCAACTGTGATAGTCTCTGATGGGATGTGGACACCACCTCAGAAAAAAATCAAAATGAGACCGATCCACTCATTTCATAGACCACACTGAAAATGCCATCGGATAATACATTTTTCTTCTTGTGATGGATGGGTGGTTGGTACTTGATAGATGGCTATTATTGCTGCCCATATTGCCCAGGTCCACGCTGATGTTTTGCTTTTATCAATGCAATGCATCCAATTTCCAAAGCAATGGGCCCAGGGGCCCAGAGGAAAATGCTTAGGTAGCTACCAGGGTGAGTGATGGGAAAAATAGAGGGTCAACTGTACCAGGGCCCCTGCGGTCAGTACCCACCCCCCAAAAAAGTCTAATGTCTATGTAACCAAAGTGAAATGGGAGAGGGATCATGAACCCTATGTATCAGGGCCCCAAATTTCTCTTGACGGGTCTGGTAACTACTAAAACAATTTGATATGTGAAAACAAAATAGCTACCTTTTCAAAACTAAATATCTCAGCCACATAGTAACACATAATTATTAAAAATACCAAAAACATCCTAAGAGTATATAACAGAGATGTGAACTGCCAGAAATTGCAGTGGTGGTGAGCACCATTACACATTCTGTACTTTGTCCCAAATACCGCAGCTCTTTTATATGAGCAGTTCTATACGGCCCTTGCACAGCAATTTAAAAAAATGACACAACATCAGGCTATAACATCAGTCTTGTTGGCTTTATAAAATGTACTACATGTAAAGATTTTTTTTTGGCAAGTCAAATCTATAAAATAAGTAAAATGTATAAACAATCTTTAACTTTATAGAATCATCAGATGTTTTTGATATGTACAGAGCATAATCAAATCAAGAACAAATAGGAAAAAAAGACTTCTTGTCCATATCTAACTAGAGATGTATACAATGGTGATAGAACACACATACAAATGTGTTTAGAACTCTCTGTACTCACCATTCCTGACTCTGGAATTAATAGAAGAGATATTGCAAGTTCCCCCAAGGAGATTTAAGTTCCTCCAAACATGGCTAGTTCACCATGGCTATCTGAAACCATGTCCTCCAGGGACAAGCTGTCTTGGACAGTCCAAAAAAAAGATATTAAAATCCTCCAAGAAAAAAAAATCAGAAATCATCTTCCTCCCCATGAGTGTTCCAGCTCAGCAGGATGGCAAAGATGCAAATTAAAAGCAGGAAAAGGAATAGATGGAGAAACACCCCTGAGTAGAGGCAGAAAAGTGCTATTCTTTCCACTGGCTCATTTCAAATTAGTAAGGCTACGTCTACACTAGCACTTTTGTTGGTATAACTTATGTTACTCAGGAATGTGTGGGGGGCGGGGGGAGGGAGGAGGAACACCCCTCTGAGCAACGTAAGTTACACTGAGAGAAACACCAGTGTGGACAGCTGTATGTCAGTGGGAGACGCTCTCCCACCCACATAGCTACTGCCGCTCATTGGAGGTGGTTTAATTATGATGACAGGAGAGCTCTCGCCCATCGGCATACAGCGGCTACATGAGCGATTTTACAGCTGCATCGGTGCCGCTGTAAGCTTGCTAATGTAGACATGACTTAAGTTACATGCTGGCGTTTGTCACTTCTGAGTTGCCCATTTGGTTCTGCCTGAAGTTTGTCCTGTTGCAGTTTATTTTTTAAAATACATAAATTTATAAAATAACTTCAAGCAGGTAGGTCACTGTTCCCCCACAATAAATGATTAAAAACAATCAAAAGTAAAAAATCTTTGCTGGTATTTTTCACATTTTCCCCCTTGCTGTCCCTATCCCGTTATATTTTTTTTCTATTAAAGCCTTTAACAGTTTTATTCCTAAATTACAGAGGTACAGGGTGGGATAGTCATATGCATATTTTTCAAATTATTATTTTCTACGTTTTCCTTTTTTTCTTGAAGACTTTTTAGGGATTAGTTCTTCAAAAGCTGCCATTTCATCCTCTCCTTCATTTTCAAAGTCTTTGTCATCTGCAAAACCTATTTAAAAAACAACAAATTGTTCAAAAGTGTGTAAGATTGAAACTTTCTTTTCCTAAAGGCATTACCAAACCCACACTATAGCCATTTCCTATTCAGGCCCCAATTCAACAAAGCACTTAAGCACAAGGTGGTATGGAACTTGTGCTTAAGACCAACTGACTTCAAGAAGACCTAAGCATGTGCTAAAGTGTGTTGCTGTATAAGGATGAACTGGTGAACCAATCTTATATAATAAAATAATTTACAACCAAATAAATAAAATCAAGTTTAATGAAGTACCACTATTAAAGCTAAATATGGGAGGGGGGAGGCAAAGTTTCTCTGAAAGCTTTCCTAGCAGCAATAGTTTCTTAGCAGTTTCCTCTTGCATATTTACATTTTATGATTGCAAAATTAAGAACAAAAGCATCTTAACCTAAGTGTTAAAATAATTACCTTTCTTGAGTAGACTCATTAGCTTCAACCAATGAATCAATTACAAGTCATTTTTTGGTATGAACATTACAGTCTCTGTTGCTTCGATATACCTTTTGCATTGAAGACTTAATTTTATTTATGATCATGACTTCTTTTTAATAAAGTATTTTTCCTCTATTAAGTTTTGACGTGAACAGAAGAGCATATCTTAATGGCTAATCTGTGAGTCAAAGTACTTATTTCTCCCTTGGATACCTTCTGCTAATGGTGGACAGACACTCAGGACCGATTCTGCTACCACTGGAATCAGTAAGCATTTCCCCATTGACCTCAAAAGAGAGCAGGAATAAGGCTTTAATGCTGTTTGTAGAACTAAGAGCTCACTCATACTATGTTTTAATTATCTCTTTCTTTGTATTGTCAGAGGATAACAGGATATGTAATGGTGATCAAAATCACTGGTCTAAAACCACAGCTTTAGATTAGAAAAACATGACATTCAAGAAGCTTTATTACTGGATACTGCCTCCTTTCTCAACATCATTATTATTGCCCTAATCCAACACTTAGGTGCATGCTTAATTTTAAGCACCAAAGTACTCCCAAGGAAGTTAGTAGAACTACTCCCATGCTTAACGTTAAGCTTATGCTTAAGTGTTGTGATGGATTAAGGTACATATGCAAATCACTAGGTCTTATAGAAAGAATATTTTACAGGTAGGGATCTTTTTATTTCCCTTTGACTTGTCTTTCTTCTGTCCTGTACCCAGATGAAAAGAGAACGTAAAAAAATGGTTAAGAACAATCACTCCTATTAGAAACCACTGACCTAAGAACTTGGGGTTATACAGATACCAGTCCATAAACATACTGATGCTGTAAAGTTCTGAGAAACAAATTCCCTAGTGTTTGGTGAAGAAGGTTCCATTTCCCTTCCCTTTTAATAGTTATTTGTTCTGTTCTGAACAGCGCACCTGACCCACCACTACCTGCGTACACAGCTTACTCAGTCCTCTTTGGCTACGCAATAATGGTAGGGGCCTTGATAAAACCTAGAAGGTGAGTACCTCCAAATTAAAATATAACCACATAATTTCTGTGGATATGGAGACTTGCATAATTTGATGACGTACCTTCCTCCTTTACCATGTGTGACTCGGTGCTCTTCAGCCATTTACAAGCATCACCAAGATTAACGGATAAACTGCTAACAGGCTTGGCCATTATTTCTTCAGCTGAAATAGATAAATTGTTAAACATACTAAGGTCGTGCTTATTATCTGAGGGCTGGATAGTGACTTAGAAAGACAGCCCACTCTAAAGGAGAGGTGTTATAGGGCCATGCTGCGCTGAAAACTCTAGGAAGGATTTTGTCTGAATCAACAAGAATTCTTCCTGGGGGCTTCCAGAAGTACATGCTGTAGGGGAGAGAGAGACCACCATGGAAGAGGATAGAGAATGCACTCCTCTCCGCATCATCAATCAACTCTGCCGGGGGGGGGGGGGAGAGAGAGAGAGTGGTCACAGCCACACCCTCACCCTGTTCCTTTTAGAAAGGCCATGCACAGCCTAAACTCCCCATCAACATTATGGCTAGCTCTGTGCAGGGTGCAAACGTGAAGATTCCTTGAATTCTCTCCTCAATCCCTTTAAACTCTACAGGTTCATGCACAATACACTACAAATGTAATATTACAGACTTAACAAAAACACTTTAAAAAAAAAACACTTCAGAAGCAAAATATAAACTTGTATGTAAAGTTTCCTCCAGGATGGAAAAACAAAGATAACAGGTACTGAGATCTTGCAGCTAAATCTATCATTAACAATTAGGTATGTGAATAATTAGTATTACAATAATAATCAGAATTTTTATTGAACAGAAGTACTCTAGTTGGCAGATGACTTCTTAGACAAATAACCGATGATAGGTTTGCTACAGTTCCCAAAGAAACAGCTGTGTTGACTTCACTGGAGCTATGCTGACTTACGCTAGCTGACGTTGTGGCCGACTACTTAATTATGTTAAAACAGAAGTCAAAACATGTCAGGGTCTGTTAACTAACAGAGATTTTTGTACTTGAAATAAAGGACTCCCAACCTGAAGTGAAATCTTCAGCTTTCCGCGGTTCTGTATGATGCTTTCCCGCAGGGGAAAACTGCTTTGACATCTGTCAGCCAAAATCTGCAGCAGTGAGAGATGTTTGTATTTCCAGTGCACATAACAATACATCTCTCTGCTACTGCGAAGATTGTGTATATTAGTTAAATAAATAAATAAATAAATAAATATAAAATAAAATTATCTAGTAAGTGTAAAAAAAACAACAACCCTTAAACCATGACATTTGAATATGGTTTGTTCTAGATAAAAATCAGCAACTTTCAACAACGTAAGGTCACAGATAGGCAAGCCCATAGCATGTGTAATAAACTGACTTTATGCTCTTTACCATCTTTGTCTGTATATAGCAATTTTCCAAATAGTATAACATTCCCAAGAGAGGAGTAACATAAGACTTATGTAACACACTGGTGAACACAGGCTTATGAATGACACAGTCTTGCAAAATTCTATTCATCACAGCAAGCAGGGTTTTTTTGATGGGTGAGTGAAATATCATTCGTTTTTTCATTATAAGTCACCTTAGACAAGTGGATGTTATGCCACAGTTGATGAACTGCCATGATGCTTTTGAAGGCTGGTCTAGAGTTAATGGCAGGGTTTTGGTTTAAGGTGCTAGTTTTTTTCTAGGAGCAGTTAGTCCATTCTATTCTGTTCCGAGATCATCCACCCACTCATTACTAATTTAATTTTTCCTTGCCAGAGACAGTGCAAAACATCAAATATATGTAAACAAATATGAAATAATATTTGTATCAACATATTTATTTCCTAAGATATAAAATGTAATACAACTCCTGTTCAGTCACTGTTAGCAATGCTTTTTTGCCTTGTCCACACTGAGGATCTTTAGTAATGCTCCCACCATTGGTCTAGCATCAGTGTAGCTAGCATTGTGTAGCTAGCAACGTTGGGGGTAAAAGTGGAGACTAACTGCAGGTGTTCTTACCCAATGCACAGTCTAATCTTGACACTACCCTAACACCAGTGCTCCCATCTTGCTAGCACTAGTGGAGCTGCTATACCAAAAACTGAAGAATTCCTAAAACTTCTCAGTGTAGACATAACCTTAGAGGTGTTTCTAGAAGTACACTTCAGACAAGTTAGAAACTACCACAGAAGCATGACAGCAGCACCTGATCATGTATCTAAAATATTAAAAAAGACTTTAACAAAGAGCTGAACTTGAGACCCTATTAGAACTATTCATTTTATCTGCTGATTGTATTATTTAAATACTCTTCTGTGTGTTCATGAAATATAAAATTTTAATAAATAAAATATGACTGTCAATAGCATCCTTAATTTTAACTCGTTTCATTTGGCAAAAACTGAGAGGCAGTGTAGATCTTTCTTTACAAGCAGACTTTAACAATATGGGCCTGATTCTCCATTCACTTGCACTAGGATAAATCAGGAGTACTTCCACTGAAAATCAGAATAAATAAAAGGAGAAATCAGGGCCTATATTATTACCGCTGCACAAAAATATTTATAGACACTCCCATACTTATATCGTTGAGACATCATTCAAGTGTTGGAGGAACCTAAAATACAAGACCATACAAGCAACAAGCAATGATGAGATGGCAACACAACAAAAAAGTCTTACCATCAGACCAAGCCTTTCTCTTATAGACGTCCTCTACTATGTCAGAAATCTTCTTAATGTTCTCTTGAATTTTTTTTTGCACCATATTGGAATGTTCTTTAAATATCAAGTGACTTGTGAACCAGGTATTTTGTTCAATTGTGTCCACTACATCTAACCCTTCACGTAATTTTGGATCCACATTTCTTTTGAAAAATTCAAAATAATTCTGGTAGGCAGTGTATTTATTTCTATGCTCATCCAGGTATATGTGCTTTACATAAGTCTCACTCGCCACAACAGTTTCACTCCTTTTCATGCTCTCCTTTTCTCCCTGATCAGTCTCTCTTGGTGTCACAGCTTCAGAAGTTTCTCTCTCAAAGTCTTCGGTCTGGTTAAAGTAGTTTTCAGGACCCTGAATAAATTTGACTCCACAGAGGTCACATTGTGTTCGGTCAATATCTGCTTTTTTAAAGATTCCTGATACCAATTCTTTCATTTCCATCCCACTGGGATCTGCTTTTGAACAGGAGTTCCTCTTCCATTTTATGCAATAATAGGCTAAAAGAAACAAACGCCACAATTTCCGCTTAGCATGAGCTTTCTGCTGTTGTTTCTGCTGCTTTATGGATGCTATGGCTGTTAGGGGATCCTCTCTCTCTTCCACATACAGATCCCTTTCGAGTTCCGTTTCTGGTTCCTCAAAATATTCCAAAGGATCCAAATATGACTCAAATCTATCTAGGTTTACTTGCTCATAAAAGATGCCCCGTATACTTGCTCCTTTAGCATACATAGTGTCCCACTTCCAGTGGCAGTCAGCTAAGTACTCCTCATCTCGTTCAATCAGCAGCTCCTGCAGGCCTTCTGCTATTTTCCTCACATTTACAGCATCAGTCACTCGTTCCACAATTTTAACCAATCTTTCAGGCACTTTGGATGGATAATCTTTTTTCATATTTATCAACTTTGCCTTGATTTCAGGAAAGTGTTCATGTAAAAGGGATTTACATCTAGGACTAAGCACTTGATTGGCATTGACTAACATCACTAAGCATAGCACCATTGTACGCTCTGCTTCCCCTGACGTAATGCAATCGCTGTCCCCAAAAGCATCAAGAAGAACATTAAAATTACTGTTTTTAGCGCCGCACAAAACTTTTGCAACATAAAGGAGATGAAATTTGAACTCTTTCAGAGCCTCATTTGTGTCCTTTGGTTTGTACTCCTGTATAATGGAAAAGATGTCTCTAATCTCTCTCTTCTGGTCTCTTTTTCTGAACAAAAACTCCCAGTAATGAAAGAGAGCGATGTAACTTTTCGGAAGACACAGAGTAATGTTCTTGCAGAGGCGCATCAGGACAGCACAACAGAGAATATACTGGAATTCCAGCAACATCACTGTATTTCCTATGCTAGGAATCAGAGGTTCAATGCATTTCTTCACCAAGACATTCATAAAACGGAAAAACATCCACTTACAGTCTTCTGGGTTTCTGTAAACATAGAGCCGCTCTAGTGAATTTTCAAGAAGTCGAATGAAACACAAGTGTGTGTTTTCTGCATTTCCAGAATACTTATCAGGTATCAACATGCCATATCTGCCATCTACCCCTTTGGGTCTTCCTCCTCTGCCTCTATCCTCCTTTTCATATTTTTTAGCTTCTAGTAACTTCAGTTCTTTGTTATAATCATCTTCCTCCTTAACAAGGAGCTTCTCAAATTCTTCAGGATAACTAGAAGACAAGCTGAAAACTTGCATTGCCCTGAGCCATAAGTCGGTTGATTCTCTTCTATTTATGGCATTTTCACTTTTAAACTGAAATATGATGTACTCCTTCAGCACCATCCTACAGGGTTTAGAAAACTGACTGAGTCCCAAGATATCTTTGCATGCCTTTGGGTTTTCAGACACCACTCTCAGATGAAAATGTTTAGGGAAAACAAAATCTAATAGGGATTTGCATAATGCATACTTATCTGCAGTCAAAATTTCATCAATGTCATTAAATTCATGCAACAGCTCTTTTGGGAATACTCTCTTGGCCTGTAACAACAGTCCATTTATTGCTGCCAGATGTATTTTACACTGAAGTATAGATTTTGCCTCATGACGCAACAAAGGTCTATGGAAATCTTTACAGGTTTTATCCTCACACTTCAAGCCAGCAATGAACTTCATGCAAATATCAGGGTAACTCTGCTCAAGTATACTGCATGTAATTGAACACAGCCTGCTTAAAAAGTGCTTATTCAGTGCAGACTTTACCTCTTCCAGGCCTACAAAGAAGTGATCTTTAGTTTTCTTCTCTTTCAAACTAGGATTATCGGGCAAGAATTGAAGAATATGTCCAGCTTCATTTTGAGACACCTGGCAAACACTGCCATCTATTGGCAAAATCCCAAAATAATCAAAACATGACCTGACCATTTCTTTCTCAGCATTGGTGGTTGCTTTTTGGAGAGCTCTGACCAGATTTAGAAGGGCCTCTAAACCACATGATGCCAGAACAAAGATGTCCTGGCTTTTTGGTTCGCAGTGGGTTGATTCAAAGAGCGCTTCCACCACACCAGCATAATGATTCAAAGGCGAGAACTTGTAGAAGGCCTCTTCAAGCTTTCTAAAATCTTTCTTTAGAACTCCCTGCAGAAAAGTTGCCTCAGCAATGCTGGATTTTTGATTTGTTTGCTTACAAAGCTCTAAGGCTTCTTCCAGGATGGTGTCTCTGTTTTCCAATTCTGAACAGCCAGTTACGCTAAAACGGACCGCAGTAAGCAGACATGATGCTCGAAATTCCTTTTTGGTAGTGAGCTTGGCTGCTTCCAACACAAACCCATGCTGTTTCATCAGCATAGCAGCCTCTTCCTCTCGACCCTCCCTCTTCAACAGGTCTGCTGCTTGGACCAAGCATTTGCGTGATTTCAAGAATACAAGCTGGTCCTCGGTGTCAAGTCTGGAGAGGACTGCCATCATTTCCTTGGTTTTGTTTTCACGCAAGTATTTTGCAGCTGCTTCCAAATAAAACTGGTTTGCAGAGTATGAAAGTTTGGAAACTGGTTGCCTTTTCATCCTTAGTATCTCTTCATATCTGGAATAAAGATACATCAATGTCATGTTACTACCATATATGAATGAAACAGACACAATCTAGCATTTTTTAAAAGATCACACAATGTCGAGCAAGGTAATAATTCTGTGCCAGTCAGGTCTACTCCAGACGCACGTCAAATGTTGTGCATAATGATAAGAGGTCTCAGAAATATGAAAAATTATCACAGTACTTTAAAAGATCTACAAATCATTTCATTACAATTTAAAGCTGTCTGAATTAAGACCACTAAAATTTCAATCAGGAATCAGATTAGAAGCTCAGAACATCAGTGGGTCTTGCTACAAACTGCTTTAAAATCATGATGAAAGTGAGATTAAAGTAATTCAAACCACAACGGTATGAACTCCTATTAAGATACATATGATAATTATGAATCTGCTACATGAACAGTCAGAATTTTGAGACTAAGACCCTCACATTATCAAATATCATTCTTCAGGGGTCAAACTTGCTAAATCCAAACAAAAGCTTACATCAATCACTGATCACTTTATGATTAACAGAATACATGTGCACCATAGTACGGCATATAATATAAATCTTTCTCCCATTTGTTGCTTCTGAGTGGCAGATCAAGGTTCCTTTTTCAACATTAGTTCTGACATTCAGCTGGTTAATTACTGTTATATGATGTCAATAAATTAGTAAACTTGTTTCATAGCCAAACTTCAACCTTGCAATAGTCTTCTCACCCACTCACCGAGGGCAAAGAAATGTTTTTTGACAGGTGAGTAAGTCATCATTAGCTTTTCATTATCATTTTTTTCATGGTAAGAGTGAAGGAGTAGATTTTGTGCCTGGGATGGTAAATTTGCATAAATGATTTTGCAAGGTTGATTTAAAATAAAACATTAGATGTTAAAAATAATTTTAAGACTTCCAATTTTGAATCAAACTATTTCTATACATTTGGTAAATGTGATTCTTTAAAAAAAAATTCCCAAGTACAGTGGGAATAAGAGTTATTTTCCAAATTACCACATTATAGAACATAAGATTTCATGCTAGGTCATACAGAATATGAACATTAACTATGCTGTTTGAGGAACATACATACTTTACTGTGAAGTTTTAAATTGTTAATTAAACTGTGGAAGCTCCTTCACTGGAGGATTTCAAAAGGAGGCTGGATAGCAATCTATCTTGGATGATTTAGACACAACAAATCCTGCATCTTGGTAGGGGGCTAAACTAGAGGACCCTTGAGGTCCCTTCTAATCGTATGGTTCTAGGTGGGGCAGGCAGCACTGTCTATTATTAAGGTCCATCACTAGCACTTTTTAGATGGGATGTTTTTCTAAAAGATATGCTCTACTAACTATTTTGGGGGAGTTCTATGGCCTGTGTTATACAGGAGATCAGACTAAGTAATCTCAATAGTATCTTCTGGCCTTGCTATCTATGTATCCATGAAGGTTGCCCAATACTTCCCATCGTAAGACCCTGTTTTCAGTTGCTCATAACTGTGCCAAACTTTAATCATTTGGGCTGAAACTTTTCATGCTGGGTATCTGATTCAGGTTGAATTTTATTTGAAAATTTCAGCCAAAAAAGGTTCAATCATTTCCAAGAGCAAAGCTGGGGAAAAATAATATGTTTTGTCCATGTTAAAACATCCCAGAAAACATTTTTTTTAAAGGTCTAGTGTCCCCACCATCAGTGTTCCCTCTAATTTTTTACATCCATGTGTGGAATGAATTTTGTTATATGCACCAATATGGAGATGATGTGTGGCGGGGGTGGGGTCGAGGGGTTCGGAGTGTGAGAAGAGGCTCGGGGCTGGGGCAGAGGGTTGGGGTGTGGGGGGTGAGGGCTCCAGCTGGGGGTGAAGGCTCTGGGGTGGGGCTGGGGATGAGGGTTGGGTGCGGGTGGGGGTGAGGGCTCTGGAATGCAAGCTGCCCCGGGCTGCAGCGGGGAGAGAGGACTCCCCCCAGTCCTCTCTCACCACAGCAGCTCGAGGCCGGGGGAGAGGCACCTCTCCCAGGCCACGGCAGCTCCGGGAGGTCTGGGCTGGTGCCTCTCCCCGGCTGCAGCAGCTCTGGCTGGGCCAGGCCAGGGGAAGGGCGCCTCTCCCCAGCTGCGGCAGGGCTGGGCTGGGCCAAGCCGGGGGAGGGGTGACTCTCCCCAGCCAAGGCAGCTCTGTCTGGGCGGGGCACTTCTCCCAACCCGCGTGGCCCTTGATAGCCCGCTGTGCAGCCGGGCAGCTTAGAGGGAACTTAGCCCACCATGTTTTTGAGCAGTGACTTAAAATTTGGCAGGGATGAAACTTTTGCTGTCCCTATGAAAATCCGTTAAATTTGGCCAAGATATGAACCTGTTGTGAAAAGTTATAAACCAAGTTATGAAAAACTGCAGTTCACACATGCATAGAAGATTTCTTCAAGTTTAGCTGCTAAATTCCCCGAAGATTCTGTCCACGTTGGGCATGGACTAGATGATCTTCTGAAGTCCCTTCCAACCCTGATATTCTATGATATTCTATGCTCCTGCCCAGGGATGAGCAGGACTTTCCCTGCAATTGCAGCCCTCTGCTGTGTCAGGTTGGGCCTGAGCACCTGAACTGACAGCAGATAACCCGTCTTCCCTGAGCTCTCAATAACTCCTCCTGCTGGGCTCAGGCAACACGGAAGAGAAAACTGCCTTATTCAGATGCACAAGGAAAAGAGCAGGACCTGCTGAGGAGAGGGTGGTAGGGACAAGGACCCTGGTAAAAGGGAGAGACTGGTCTAGAGGTTGGGAGGTGAGGGGAGAAGAATATTGGGACTGGGAGTCATGATGTATGAGGTAGGGGGAGGGGCTGTGACAGGTTAGGCAAAGAGACTGGAACTGGGAGCTGGGAAGAGAAATGGTAAAAAAAAGGACTGGGAGCCAGCAAGTGTGTATGGGGGGGAGGGGGCAGGGGGAGACTGAGATCAAATAAGGAGCCCAGGGAGGAGTGAGGGAGAACACTGGGACTGGCTGAGGAAAAAGACTGGGATTGAGAACCAGTGGGGTGAGGAGAGGGAAGGGGAGTCAGATCTGCTGGGGAAAGAGGTGGGATCCTTAGATAAAAACAAGGAGGTCACGGAGAGAGTTTGGGAGTGGGAGCCAGTGGGGATGGGTAACTACAGGCCAAGGTGGTGGAGAGAGACAGACTGGATGAGGAGCCAAGGGAAAGGGGCACTAGGACTGGATGGGGAAGGAGACCGGGAGTTGGGGACTTGCTTGACAAGGAGACGGGGACTGGGATGAGATGCCTGAGTGATGGCAATTGGGCATGGCGATGAGAATGGGACTGTGACGATAGGCAGGGGTAGGGAAAAAGACAGGACTGTGACAAGGTCAGGTTAGAGGGATGGGATAGAAAGGTCTGTGCCAAGTAGAGCACATTCCCCTCCAGAGCCTTCATGCATCTCACCATTCCTCTGCTATCTGCAAATATCTGTGAAACCCATCAGCAAAGTGCTCCATTTCTCTCTTGTCTTTATAGAGGATGACAATCAGTTACTCCATTAGCTCAACTGACAGAAGTCTGTGTGGTGGATCTAAAGCTTCTATGTGGTATCAATATGATGCCACATGATGGAATTTGTTTTTTCGGTTTGCTTTAAAAACTAATAATAAAAAAATTAAACCTAGAAAATTGCACACAAAAACCTATGTTAAAATAATGTCATCAATGTTGCAAAGTCAAGCACTAAAAGTCAGGAAAAGCAAGAATTAAGGTTGCCCGTGCAAGCTTAATTTGGTGCCTCCTTATGCAGCCTTTAATAACATGACTGTATACTATGTTTTCCTCAAGACCCCTATGTCATTCAGTGCACAGTCCTGCTCCGGGAATTAATCAGGGTAGTATAGTGAAGGAGGCTGTTGTCTTTAGGACCCCTGATTCATATCTTGCAAAACTGGAATGTGTGTAGTGAATGAGGCAAGAGACTGCAGGAAGAGAAATGATGATCCCACGGTCGAATGCTACCCTGGAGAATTGGATTTTTTCCCTGCCTCAGCTAAACAGCTTCTACATGATGCTAGCAAGTCACTTAAACCAAACTTAGAGGTGGTAGCTAGTTGTGTGCTCCTCATTTTCTGGGTGCCTGACTTGAGACCCTGGGGTCTGACTTGCAGAAGTGCTAAGAGAACTCACAGCTGCAACTGAAGTCTTTGGGAGTTGCGCTTTGAACATATGAAGTGCTATAAAATGATAAATACTCTGAAAAATAAAGGTCCCAATCATCTCAGATTTGGAACTCAATATGAATGGATGCTTTTGACCTTAATCTCTGTGCCTCGGTTTCCCATCTGTAAAATGGGAAAAATACCACTTCCTGATCTCACAGGAATGTTGTGAAGATAATTCCATAATATTTCTGAAGCATTCAGACACTTACAGAGATGAGTGGCATAAAAAAAAATCCCATGAAGAAATTAATAATTCTGTCTTCAGAGCAGAGTTTGAATTGTGTGCAGTAAAAAAGGCCTGAACATTAAGAAGAAAACAAAATATTGAATTTTCTCATTAAGGCTACGTCTACACAGGGATAAAAAAACCAGCAGCTGGCCCGATCAGCTGACTCGGGCTTACAGGGCTCGCTCTCTCCGGGGCTGAAAAATTGCTGTGTAGATATTCAGGCTCAGGCTGCAGTCAAAATTCTTGGACCCTGCGAGGGTGGAGGGTCTTTTATCCCTGTGTAAACATACCCTTTGTGAGCAATCATAACGCATACCCATAAGGGGGCCAAATTAAGGGGAATGAATCTGTTATTTTCTTGAATCTTTCTGTGATATCTACCTTAGGGATCTAGTTGAGGAGACCAGTCCAGATGGAGAACTGAAGATGTGACATGGCTGACATTAAGGGAGTGAAATAAGTCCTGGGAAAAAATCAAGTTCTCTATTACAGTTCAAGCTGGAGGGAGTTCTCATAAACCAAATGAATTTGATCTTGGTGCAAAAGTAATGTCATCAACTAAAACCCTTGTCAAAATCCGTGGAGAACCTACTTTACTATGCTCAAGCAGCACAAGGAAGAAGAGAGATTTTTTCCTCTGCAGCATCCTCTTTATGAACATACCTTTCCACTAAAATAGCTGCTTCCTCATATAGTTCCTCATGGCAACACATCTTAAGCGCAAGATCAAACTCCTGGATTTGTTCATAACATCTGGATGCATCTCGGTAGCACTGGCTTCTTTTATAGAAATACGCAGCATCTTTTATCTGCACCATAATAACTCTTATTAATATTGCAGTCTTCTAAATATTTGAACAATACCAACAGAAAAACCATGGTATTTTTATCCATACAATGGAGAGAGAAATGGATGTAGACAGTTCCTATGACCTTCTATTGATAAATCTATTTTAACAATATTATCTGAATGGGAATGGTTATGTTTGTAACAATAAATGTATTAATTAAAAATAATCAGAATTAGAATGGTGAATTGTTTTAAAAACTCAAACATTTTAAAGACAAGAAATTGGAAATTAAGGTAAAAAAATATACTAGGATTGGATTTTCAAAAGTGCTCTGCATTGGCTGAACTCAGTGGTGGGCAACCTGCAGCCCATCAGGGTAATCTGATTACAGGCTGTAAGACATTTTGCTGACGTTGACCGTCTGCAGGCACGGTCCCCCGCAGCTCCCAGTGGCCGCAGTTGGGAGCTGCAGGAAGCGGCAGCCAGCACGTCCCTGCGGACCACTGCTTCCCGCAGCTCCTAGTGGCCGCAGTTCGCCATTCCTGGCCAATGGGAGCTGCGGGGGGCTGTGCCTGGGGACGGTCAACGTCAGCAAAACATCTCGTGGCCCGTGATCAGATTACCCTGATGGGCCACGTGCGGCCTGCACGTTGCCCACAACTGGCCTAACTGTTCCTACAGAAGTCAATGGGAATTTTATCACTGACTGCAATGGAAGCAAAGTTAGGCTAACGCGGAGTGTGTTTGAAAACTCTTATTTTGAACCACAATGTTTTGGTTTCTTTTAATTACTGAGATATCGGAGCTGCAACCTGGTTTTTATTTGGGGTGCATTATTCCATCACACAGTTTGAGGTGTTTCTGCACTTTTCCAGCAAATGGATGATGACAGAGTTCACAGGCAATGGTTTAAACCATAAAATTATAATAATTTGTATAACTCTACATTAGTAATGGATTGTTATTCATGTTAGACCAGTTCAGGCAGAAACTGTCCACTTGGCACATAAATTGCTGACGCCAGCAACACCTGAATGGTTATATCAAGTAATAATTTCAGTCTTAACTATCAAACAAAAATAATTTTTTTCTCCTTCCCCCATCCACTGGACTGTATGGAGATAAAGGTTTCCAAGTTAGAAACACCAACAAAGCCAAAGCAAGAATGACTATTCTTTGGCATTGTGGGGAATGGTAAAGAAACCTAATCTTTGAATGCCGAGTCCCTGCTATTGCCTCCTCCCTCCTCTTATTTCTGTTCTGTGATGTATGTTGCTCTTGGACATACGATCCACCTGAAAAACACTGTATTTTACTTATCAGAGGGGTAGCCATGTTAGTCTGAATCTGTAAAAAGCAACAGAGGGTCCTGTGGCACCTTTAAGACTAACAGAAGTATTGGGAGCATAAGCTTTCGTGGGTAAGAACCTCACTTCTTCAGATGCAAGAAGAAGTGAGGTTCTTACCCACGAAAGCTTATGCTTCTGTTAGTCTTAAAGGTGCCACAGGACCCTCTGTTGTATTTTACTTATGACTCTACCAGTATGCCGTGGAAGAACATTTATCTAATCTCACCAATACTAATATGAGATAACGAATACAAATTTTAAAGCGTCCTGTCTAGGACCATGATGTTTAAAATCCCTACATAGATCTAAAAATCCCAAACTGGGTGGGGGAGGGGGAAGAGGATTTTAATACCTTGCCTAATTTTTCACATAGTTCTGCACAAAGCTGAAATTCTTTTGCGTAAATCAGACATTTCAGGGATAGTTTTGGTTCTCCACATTCCAAATAGGTCTTTGCCAGGTACATATAGTCCATCTGTTTTTCTCTATTTAAAACAAAAAACAAAAAAGATCACATATGCACAACCAACCCAATTTAACATTATTTTTTACAAGTCTGGTATACTAGCAGTTCCATCAACAAGAACATGTTGTTCCCTGTATTTTCCAAGAAACACTACTAATAAATTCAGTTATATTTCAGCACTTACTTGGGGCTGCTTTTCTTTGATTGCACATTAAGTACAGCATCGTGCGCTAAGGCCAGTTTTTCCTTCTCAATTGCTCCTCCTTTTTGGTAACATTTGGCTGCCACCTGAAATTAGATAAATGACATGCACATATATGTATGTATGCATTCATGCATGTGTCCCTTAAAGCTTATCACACATTCATACAATTTTCTTGGTGGAACAACCCATCTACCTAAAAAAGTGTTACATTTCATTTTACAGTGACATCAAGGGAAACATTAACATCAGAAAAGCACCTGGAGGAAGGGGAGGGACAGCGTTTGAGTACATTTTTAATATGAAGACAAGCTTCAAAATAAGTTCACGCACAATTTTAACTAAGAATGTTTTTACAATTAACCTGAAAGCAGGGAAAGCTGCATTTCGGGTGGACTGGCAACACAAACAATACTTTCCTACTATATCAGACTCTAAAGGGTTAATTGATATGTCAAAGGGAACTAGCCCCATTTGCGTAAGTCAGTAAACCCTTCCTTGCATATTTCCCTGCATCATCATGGGCCCTGGGCTAAACTCAGATGTTCAGTATTCACAACCATATAGTTAAAAAATATTCAACAAATGCAGTAATTGATTTTTCAAAACATACATAGGCAATATGAACTGCCTGAGATTAGAAGCTGGTTCTCCAACATTTAAACTATGCAGAAAGCAATTCACACAAAGTTAGGGAGGTGCTGCCTAAAAAGCACTTATTCAGTTCGATCACTGTAGGATGAAAAAAGATCTGTTCAATGTAGAGCAAAATCACAGAACATGGGACTATTTGTTTACATACAAGGTTAATATACCAGTACTGTCCTGTGACAACAACAGGGGAGTTTGAGAGGGAGATCCCCTGCTGAAGGAGGAGTGAGCACTAATTCTTGGCATGAGTGGGCAAGCTTGTCTGTCTGGTTTTTCTTTCAGTCTGTTAAAATGTATAGTGGTGGTCTGTCGGTGACTATGTGAGAGTGTGGGCCAGAGGCCTGCTAGTTGAGTGGTCACTAGCAAGGCTCTAGCCTTCTGTCCTTTGAACCTTGATCATCCTTGTGATCACCATTCCCATTTGTTAACAGGGGGAAAGGCTGACTTAGGAGACGGGGCTTAAAAGCCAGATGCTAAGTGACCACGGGGAGCTAGCCAACAGAGGGCAGCATACAGAAGAGTCTGAGAGGGAGCTTGTAGGAGGGAGAAAGAATCAAATCAGCATGGCTCGGAAAGGCTCCACCGCCAATGCTTCTGGCTCCTCCACCTGCACCTGTGTCCAGACAGAGAACCCAACCATGGATCTCTACCCAGGTCTTGGTATGGATTTGCAGAGACCTTGACCTGCATTTCCCCTCACAGAAAGCCAGGCTGGGAAGACCATCCAGTGTGAAAGGTGTCTACTGGTAGAATCTCCCAGGAAGCATATGGGAGAGCTACAGGAGGAGGTGGCTAGGCTGAGGAGCATGTGTGCACAGGAGGAAGACCTCCAAGGTGAAGGAAGCAACTGGCTGGAGAGGACTGCAGTACTATCACCAGGAAAGGAGGAAATGGCTTTTTCACAGGGATGAACCTGGCTGCTGGTTACTTCTGGCAGCAGGCAGTGCTCCACCCCTGCTCCCAACCTACTGTCCATATTTAAAAAAATGGTACGCTGCCCTGGCAACAAGGGATCTAGAATCTCCCCCAGACCACTGCGGGAGGAGGAGAAGCCATGTATTTCCAAGGCTGAGAGGATCATGACCACCACTCCCAAGAGGAAACAGAGGGTGGTGGTTGGTGATTCCCTTCTAAGGAGGATGGAGGGATCAGACTACCTGTACCTGTCAATAATGGGGGGACAGAGTGAGGGCAGTGGTTTCAGCAGATGTTACTGAGCATGCTCAGTCCATGTGAGCATGCTCACTACAAGCCAAGCAACAACTTGGGGGATGTGACCCTGCATGCCCCCCCACACATCGCCTCTAGGAGCATCCACCTGTTGGCCTGACCTGGCATCCTGGGAGTGCTCCAAAACAGCCTCCTGTATGCAAATCACTCCCAGCTACGTCTGTGTGCACCTGCAGCCTGCCAGTAACACCTAGGCTCTTATCAGCCTCGGTTATACTGCAGGCTGACCCCAACACACTTCTAGTCACAGATTTCCTCTCGGAAAGGTATGTCCTGTACTGCCCAGCCCTCTCCTGGACAATACAAGCTTACATAAAGTCCATCATTTAATTAATAGAAATGATATGTAGGAGCTTCAAGGATCTCTGTAACACAGTTGGCACCAATGTCTCCCGGGTGCCTCCTTTCTGGTAGGATATACAGTCTCTAGTTCTTTCTCATGGCCCTGGTATGGAGCCGTAGCACCAAAGCTTCCTTCCTGGAGGCACTGCCTTCTTTAACAGTCCAATAGGGGCCCACCTCAGTACCCTCAGTTGGCATCCTTTTTGGCAGCCCTCCCTGGGCTCTGTCTTCAACCAGACCCAGCAGGGCCCATCACGATAACCTCGCCTGGTCTGGGTAGGTCCTGAGCTCAGTCCTCCCTGCAGTGAGCTGTCCACAGTCCTGACGCTCTTTCACCTGGCCAAGCACCCAGTCTTTAGCAGCCTTCCCTGAGCTCAACCCTTCCTGCAGTGAGCTGTCCACGGTCCTGTCCTATCCAGCCAGGCACTGGTTCTCCCTCTTCAACCTACAGGCAGCAACTGACTGCTCTGCATCTGCTGCTTCCTTTTATATGGCTCTTCTGGCCCCTGATTGGTCACTCCAGCAACCCCGCCTCAAATTGGCTGCTCCCCTTCAGCTACTCTAGGCTGCCTGGAGGACTTCTCCTCTGCTCTTTACTGGGGCAGGGTGAGGCAGAGCTGTGAGGCCTCCAGCAGGGGACCTCCAGACCTCCTCCACCCCATCACAATCTTCCCACATTTTCCTTTGCTTTAAGTTAATCCCCTTTCTTACAGCCAACCATTGTAGCCAGAGATATGGAAGGATCTTCCGCTAACTTCCTCACTGGTCTAAGGAATCAGTATTGGATATAGATAATCCCATTCCTTCCAGAACACACCGTCTTTATCAGATTAGGAAGATTTTTTTTTTGTGGCCTGTATGGCAGGAGTACTGAACACACAGTTTGTGCTTCCATAGAATTTTTTTTTTAAACAAGAACTCTATATGCTGCTGTCTTCAGGAAATGTAATGCACCATTCTGATACCCATCACAGAAACTTAGTCTTATAGTTATTTACTTAAGAAATAGTCAGAACATTTCCACATTATCAACTGACCAGACAGATCAAATTTGGACGATATTAGCTAGCAATCTAGCAAATAACAGACTTTAAAAGTCAAGAGTTCTAACAGGCCTTTTTAATAATATTGTGCACACTTTAAAATGATGGTTTCATTTTTTATTATTTAATATTTTATGTGGACTTTTGTATTGCAGCAAAATCCTTTGGTTCTCAGATATTACTGCTAGAAAGAGATTAAATAGATACAGACATAAACCACACTGTGACCTTAAAAGGCTCTGGGCTCATCACCCAGATCATTATGCTTCCAAGAAATTGAGTGTCTTGCCTACAACACTGTTTCCTGAAATAAAATTTGAAATGGTTCAAAGTCACAACTTTCAACTGACTCATATTTTTGTTACTGTAAAACAGCCAAACGATTCTAAAGTGACTTTTACGGATACAAAGAGAACAGGGTCTCAAAACTGAGATAACATGACTTATCTCAGATAAACATATGACTTTACCTTCCAACACTGATGCTTAGCATAGTATTCTCCTTGTGCAATCCATTCTTCTGGGGTTGAAGTTTTAACAAACATGCTATCATCAAAATCTGGGTAGTGGAGAAGATGGAAGACAGTTACTTTATGTTAGTGATATGGTATAAGAGAAGACACTTAATATATGTCAAAGCTAAGGATTATCATCATTTTACAGTTTTCCAAAATCCCCATGATTTACACTCAAATCAACTGATCACACCAAGGGGTAAATTAGATTTTTCCTATTTTTTTACTTACCTTTAAAATTGACAATTCAAGTTTTATTTTAAAAGGCCTCTAAAAATTGTAATTACTACACAGGCAACAAAGATTAGAGTAACCTTACTGTCCCTTAATAATAAATAGGTTCTTTCATTTGCTAACAACAAGTAGTTTCATTTAACTGAGTCAGTTTTTCATAATTAATATTCAGTGTTTATAGGTTGGTTGCATACCTTCCTCACTTGTACAGGAAAGATAACAATGAGATGTCTCATAAACATTGCAGATATTTTAGAGCTAAGAAAAGTATAGTATTTTACTCTTAAATGTACAACATTAGATGCAAGCAAACACACACACACACACACACACACACACACACACACACACACCATTCATCATATTATGATAATTCAAAAGCTAGAAATATTTGCTAAGAACATGGGAATTTTAACTGGTTTAAAACAAACAACAAACATTTATTGGATTATCTTGTTTTCAGAGTTTATATAGGAAGTTTTGATGTAGCTTTTACCTTTGTTTTCATCTATTTTGACAACTTGAACAAATTCCCTTTTGATGAAATATTTAAAAGCCGGAGCCCGCTTGTCACTGTTTTCATCAAAGATCCAAAGATTGACCCTGGCTCTTGTAATGGCAGTATACAGCTGCTTCAGCTCTCCATTGAGCATCTAGGATAGAGTGATTAAATAAGACAAAATGACATGATATGTGCAGGAAATTATATGAGTGCATGGTAAAAGGAATGCTATGAGTACATACAGAATTAACTATTTAAAGTAAAGTATCTTAAAATAAGCCACTTTAAATATTAAGGGCCTGATTTTGAATTATGCCTGCAAAAATGCATGTGCAATTTTCCATCTAATTTGTGTGCAATTACTTGTACTGCAAGTTAGATAGTTTCATACACAAAGAGCCAGTTTTGTGTCTAAAAAACATTTACAAATGAAGTCATTTATTTTTTGCACACAATTATGGACACTTCAAGTACAAGTTCAACATGCAATTTCTCTCACAATTTTGAAAAATCTGGTATTAAGAGTCTGGTTCACTACTGCATCCCTCATGTAACTTCATTGCTTTTAATAGTTACAACAGTAAAAGATTGGAATAACAGAGGTCAATTAGTCACTAACTCTTAATTCATTTTTTAACCATAACTACTACAACTAAGAGTTAACTATATAAGATCTTTGCCTTCCCACCTGCTATATGTCCAAAAACATACAAACTTCTAAATCCTCCCAAGAAAATCATGTGTTCGGTAAAAGCCAGAAAAAAGAAAAAATACTGATGGATCTGGGATTAATTAATTACAGTATGTAATATTACTATATTATTGAAAGAACTGTTATACATGAAAATGCCAAATAAGATTTATTAGGAGTCTTTCTTGAACTTTGAGATTTTTCTTAGTTTGTTGTGTGCTTGCTCTCTCCAAACAGTGTGTTATAAAAAAAACCCCAGAGTGTATCACCTTGTACATTTCTGGATTAAGCACCGGAGATCTGCTCTGAGTAGCAATATTTTTCTCTAAAGGTGTTTCGATCACCAGCTTGCTTTCTCCTAGTGAATCAGAGGAAGGGGTAAAAGAAGAAATGATCTTCCACTCTTTGTAAGCCTATAATTTGAGAAACATACAAAGACTTCAGGTTAGCTGATTCTACTGCGTACCCAGGCCTACATATACGTACACATATGTAACATATATTTTAAAACCCCATGCACACACATCCAAGATTTTGCATGCAGCACTCTACCTATATCCTAAAAGTTGTGGATTGGGGCCTTAATTTGTAGAAATACCATACATAATTCTCAACTCAGTGGTTTGAGCATTGGCCTGCTAAACCCAGGGTTGTGAGTTCAATCCTTGAGGGGGCCACTTAGGGATCTGGGGCAAAATCAGTACTTGGTCCTGCTAGCAAAGGCAGGGGGCTGGACTTGATGACCTTTCAAGGTCCCTTCCAGTTCTAGGAGATAGGATATCTCCATTAATTATTCCCACAGTATTCTTGCCGCCAAGTTAAAGAAGTATGGGCTGGATGAATGGACTGTAAGGTGGATAAAAAGCTGGCTAGATCGTCGGGCTCAACGGGTAGTGATCAATGGCTCCATGTCTAGTTGGCAGCCGGTTTCAAGCGGAGTGCCCCAAGGGTCGGTCCTGGGATCGGTTTTGTTTAATATCTTTATTAATGATCTGGAGGCTGGTGTGGACTGCACTCTCAGCAAGTTTGCAGATGACACTAAACTAGGAGGCGTGGTAGATACACTAGAGGGTAGGGATCGGATACAGAGGGACCTAGACAAATTAGAGGATTGGGCCAAAAAAAACCTGATGAGGTTCAACAAGGATAAGTGCAGAGTCCTGCTACATGCACTGCTACAGACTAGGAACCGAATGGCTAGGTAGCAGTTCTGCAGAAAAGGACCTGGGGTCACAGTGGACGAGAAGCTGGATATGAGTCAACAGTGTGCTCTTGTTGCCAAGAAGGCTAACGGCATTTTGGGCTGTATAAGTAGGGGCATCATCAGCAGATCGAGGAATGTGATCGTTCC